TGGTCAAGTTGTTAATATAAGTTAATATAAGTCATATAAGTTGTTAAGTTGTTATTATAAGTCATATAAGTTGTGCGATCGCACGCCTCTTACAAGAAGGCCTGTATTATATATAAATATATATTTATATATATATATATATATATATATATATATATATATATATATATATATATATATATATATATATATATATAAAATATCGCACGTCTCTTACAAGAAGGCCTGTATTATATATATATATATATATATATATATATATATATATATATATATATATATATATATATATATATATATATATATATATATATATATATATATATATATATATGTATATATATATATATATATATATAATATAATATATATATATATATATATATATATATATATATATATATATATTATATATATATATATATAAATAAATTTTTTTCTTTCCTTTTCTCAAAATATTGTTTTCTATAAAGGTAAGAAAAATTAGTAACAATTTGTTATCTTTATGCACTATAGTTTATATATATATATATATATATATATATATATATATATATATATATATATATATATATATATATATATTTATATATGTAAATATATATAAATATATGTATATAAATATATATATAAATATGTAAATATATATAAGTATATGTATATATATATATATATATATATATATATATATATATATATATATATATATATATATATATATATATATATATATAATATAGCATATACAGATTAAACATTGTTTATAGTTTATCCTATGTATATAAATATATATATATAAATATGTAAATATATATAAGTATATGTATTATATATATATATATATATATATATATATATATATATATATATATGTATATATATATATATATATATATATATATATATATATATATATACATATATATATATATATATATATATATATATATATATATATATATATATATATATATATATATATATATATATATATATATATATAATATAGCATATACAGATTAAACATTGTTTATAGTTTATCCTACCTTTATAGCATACAGCGTTTTCAGAAAAAGAATAAAAAAATTAAGAATAATAAAAGAAAAGATTGCTGCCAGATGCCAAGCCCTTTTTGTAAATGCGATGCATTTTAGTGAAGCTGCACCGAGCAGTGAACGCCTTAGGGATGAAAAATAAGTTTAAAAGAGTTTAGCATAGTGAGATAAAAGTACAAAAGGACAGATGTCCAGTGAAAAAAAAAAAGTAGAAAAATACTAAAAACTGATATAAGCAAAATAAATAATAAGTAGTAAAGATAAATAAGAATAATAAACAATAGTCAAGGAAAGTCATTAGTTGTTGTGCTACTAAATTGTTGTTAGAGTCCAGCGTAAATGTGATGTATAGATAGAATTGGTAATGGAGTAGAATTATTCGTTTTATAAGTAGTCAACATGGTTTGTATTATTAGGGTGATAAACATACATTATAGATATAGGTGTCATGAATATCTCGAGTACAGTATGGATTTGTGCCTTATAGTGCAGTATGAGCACATGAAGACCTCCAGCTTTCATCCGAGACTGGTATCCCAAAAGAAGTTCCACTCTGGATCTACACCAGGGTATCTTTTAAAGGTATCCCATTGTGTTATCCCAAAAGGACTATTCTCAGAGTATCCAGTCAGGAGGATTGCCACAGACTCCTAAATTGACACTGAGACCAGAGGACACTTAGCAGGGTTCAGTACAACTTGCAAACAATAGTAAGTAGTTTTTTGAGTATCCATAAGTGCAGTGGTTTGTTACAGTATACGTTGAGTCAATCAGAGTTGTAAACTGTTTCGAGTTCTTATAACTGTGTGAAATGTAAATAGTCAATGTAGTGTACTCGTGTGTGACCAGGGTAGTAGCATGGCTCGATAGTAAGAGTTATCAGTATAAAAAACAGTTAAAGGTCATTTAAATTGGTGTAACATAAGCTAGACATGAATTTTAGTGTTTCTGGAGAATAAATAAAACTATTACCATGGTGATGATCTAGAATATTAAACTAGAATTTCATTTACAATAGCAACAAAAACTAATATATACATTTTTTAACTAATAATCTGTTTAAAAATTACCACTAATACATAAAAATCATATGGAGTTTTGTAGTTTAACCAGTTATATATGAGATTTCAAAAAAGTGTTTGGTAATTTGTATAAATAAAAAGATTCACAGTGCATAAGTCACATGACTGTAATGTTACGATAGGTATCCAAATTGGAGTAGAGTTATTCGTTTTATGAAAATCATGGCCTGTTTTTTGCTTAATAATATTCATAGTGACTTGTGTCTTAAGTCTTTCAGTATGAGTTTTTTGTATTAAAATAATATTATTAGTTATTAGAAACTTGCAATTGAAATTAAGTAATGTAATATCTAGTAATAATGTGAAATTATTGTATTTTATTTTTTATAAGCTTAACTCCTTATTAGCATTTTTCTAATATTTTAATAGTGTGAAGACAATACAGTAACAAATAACATGTGTTTATATGTAAGTGTACTAATTAAGTGTTAATACTTATCTTTAATGAAGAGATGTGTATGGGTGTGCATGATAGAACTAGAGTAGAATTATTTGTTTTTTAAGTAGTTACTGGTGATGTATGCAACAAAGCTGGAGTAGAATTATTGGTTTTTTAAAAAAAATAAATATCAGATGATTTGTGTCACATAGCTGGAGTAGAATTATTCGTTTTTAAAGTACTCATCAGATGATGTATGTGACAGAGTTGGAGTAGAATTATTCTTTTTTTAAATAGCTATCAGATGATGTATGTAGCAGAGCTGGAGTAGAGTTATTCGTTTTTTAAGAAGACATCTGATGATGTATGTAACAGAACTTGAATAGAATTATTTGTTTTTTAAGTAGTTATCAGATGATGTAACAGAACTGGAGTAGAGTTATTCGTTTTGTAAGTAGTTATCAGATGGTGTATGAAAGAGAGCTGGAATAGAGTTAT